CTGCCGCTCCGCCCGCCGCCTCAGTCGCCTCAGCCGCCGCTGCTTTCCCTCCCCGGCTCCGCCTGCTGCCGCCGCAACCCCCACAGCCAGTCAGCCACTCTCGCGAGATCTGCGGGAGAGACGAGACAGACGAGACCCGGTAACAGGGCACTGACTCCCCAGTACAGTAGCAGGGCGCCCTACTGTACGCGCCCACCCGCCCGCCAGCACGTGATCTGCGCCCCCTCCCCGATGCCAGCCCCTCGTCCGCTCTCCCGCCCGCCCGCCAGGCGGCGCCCACCGGCCGGCCCTCACCCTACACCCCTGCCTGGGGGTGGGGAGGGAGCAGGACAGGCGGCGTCAACTCTGCTGCCGCGACTGTGCCACCACCAGCACCGCTGTGGCTATCGCTGTTGGCCAGACCCTAAGCGGCCATGGCCTGGGGAGTTGGGGGACTAGGGTGAGAAGGGAGTTGCCTGCTAAGCCCTGGGAGGGCTGGGCTCTGCTTTCTGGTGACCCCCAAAGAGACGATGTAGGGGGAGGGGCCTGCGCAGCGCAGCAGAGCGAGCCGCAGAGAGGGGACACCGAGTCACTGCCACCCCCTCCCATGCGGGCCTCAGCCAAACCCGGACCCAAACCCAGACAGGCCTGCCCATCACCCAGCTTAGCTGTCTCCTACCGCAGAACCCGGGCCCCCTCGCCGCAGAGGCAGGCAAGGAAAAGGAGGCAGTGCGGTGATTGTAACCCTTAGCTGCAGAGAGGGCTGCTAGGGATGAGGACTGGGCTCCGGCAGCAGTGGCGCGGAGCAGCAGACACCTAGCCTGTCCCTCCCTTCTCCCTCCTTTTTCTCCCGCCGCTCCCCCTCCCCGCGCACGGCAGCGGCTCTGGCCTCAGATGATCCCGCTCCCCCCTCCCCCCAACCGCAGCCCCGCACAGCACAGTCGGGCAGGCGGGAGGGAGGGCGCACTCACCGGCGGGGGGAGCTGAGGGGAGGACAGTAGCCGCACCAGGGCCTGGGTGCCCGCAACGCCTATCCCCGTAGGCTCTGCCCTTACTCCCAAACAGCAATCAAGAAGAAACCCCACACTCACCCAATAATCTGCAACCAGCCCCCTTGGGACCACGGTTGCCAGCCTGCCTCCCCCTCCTCCTTCTAAAACTTGGGCAAGGGGGGCATCCTGCTCAGGGCAGAGCCCAACCGGGGTTGCCGGCCAGCTCTGCAGATGAACCAGGCCCTGCTGAGCATTTGGACCCTAACCCACTATTCTTCCTCTCTGGAAGGACCCAGAATGGTGGAGAAAACCAAGAAGGCTTTCGGAAATTCATGAGCTAAATATGTCAGGAATTTCCTGGGAAACGCAGTTCCTTACGGGATTCATTAAAGCAGGTTCGTTTGCTTGCCCCTTTTACTTTTCCTCCCAGAAACGTGTTGAGGATCCCCACCTCAAGTAAAACATTAAATGGTCGCTGATTTTTAAGCAGACAGCTAGACTACCAACCATTAATTAGCCAATGAGTGTTTGGAGGGTGACAGCTAACCGGGATCCTCTCTGGTAACAGAAAGGAGTTCACAAGAGGAGGATCAAAAATCGTTGGTTTCTTTCTTCCTAGACCTGATGCATAATCTAGGGCCTATTTTACAACTTCCAGATAGGCAATGGTAGCTTACACTGCCCCTTGCAGTGTGTGGCCCTTGAAGCTGTGGGAAGGCTAAGGCCTATCTCCAGGGGACTCTTGCAAATTCGCCTGTATCCCCCCATCACCTTCCGCAGGGGTCTGAGAGGATTATGCAGGTTTACCTCTGGCTTTCTGATGCATGGATTGCTGACTTCATCCTGAAAATGTACCTATTCAAACATCTCTCCCTTTTCCCCAAAAGTAAGACTTGTCTCCGGTACTCTTAGCTTCATAAAAAATGATTAAGTTGCCTAAAAGGAAGGAGCAGGGTGCTTATCAAAAAACCAAGAACAATCTAGGGCATAAACCTTGTTAATATCTGAACGCTCAAAGCCTCTCAAATATCCATTCACTTCTTGTGCAAACCTACCTGTAAGGGATTTACAGCTTCTTTTTTTCCTGGTAGCAAGAGCCTCATTCTAGTCAGCATTAGCTATTTCAGCTTTAGCCTAAAGCTACTTCTCACTAATAAACCTTGACCACCAAACAGCAAACTAGGTAGTCCAGTGAACCAGCCTCAGAACCAGCCCCTATGTCCAGTAGTCTCTGAAATGAGCCTTTCTTAAAGGGCAGGCTCACTCAGAGAAAAGACCAGGGTTTGGGCCTCAAAAAGAACTTCTCCTTAATGTGGGGGCAACCTCTAGTTCCACATATTCAGCCCTTCAGTTCTGAATTTTGCGCACTCCTCTCCTACTCCCAAGCCTGTTGGGAAGGATACACAGGACCTTTGGAGTATTTCCTATCACACAAAAATACATGTGTGAAGCACTGGCTCCTCCAGGCTCATGCAGTAGAGATCAGGACCCTGGATAGACCCCGACCGCTCCAGCAAGGAAAAAGCTATGTGGCAGGGTCTCTAGAAATAGGACGGAATGTTAGCCTCCTACTCCTAAACTGAGGCTAACATCTGGTGAAGTCTGATCTAGGAAGGCTGCCGCTGATCTTCCAGGGTTTACTTTGTGATGAACCAATCCCCCTGCCCCTGGGGATCACACAGAAGCAAGGCCAATGTTATTTCAATGAGAGTTCCTGCCTGTTGGTCCCTGCCACTCTTCCGTGCCGATGTTCACCATATCAGGGACAGAAGCTGGAAGGTTCAAAAACTGCTCACCTTACTGATCTAACTTTAGTTTAATTTCTTATCCCCTTTCGCAAACATTTACATACAGGGGTTCTGAAGCATTTTGACTTTCTGAGAAAAAGCAACTGCCACCAGGAATTGACTTCTTAGTTCCCCAGCGCAGAAGCAACTGATGAATTTCTACACAGAACACAAATTAAATATCATTTGCACACTTAAATTGGGAATTTTAAGTGAAAATAGCAAATGACCAAGACCTGAATCTCTCCACATATCATGTACTTATTTTATACTATTCATTATATATATACATATATATATATAATTTCTGCCCTTATATGCCAGCTTCTCTTCTACTTCATGCATGTAAAAAGACTAATGCCTTTTCCAATACAATTTAATGATAAACTGGACAGTATATTTTCACTACTGAAACAAGAGGGTTAATTTCAGGAAAAGCCCGTAAATGTGGGATTTTTCTTAGACTAGGAGGTGAAAGTAGGCTTTCCTTGGGTTGTTGCATACAGTAGCCTTAAAAGGCAGCCTCCTAGGAATGAATATTAACTTGTAGAAAAATCTTAAAACAAAAAATTTAGAACGTTACAGAAAATGTCAAAGTTATATCTACAATGTAACACTGAAGGTCCATTAGAAAACTTGTGAATTTAAAAAGGCTTCTAGTCATTTGTTAATTAACTAAACAGATACTAACTTATTGAATGAAAATCTGGATAGCTTTCAGTTGTTTGAATTTGTTACTTTAAGCAACTAGCTGGAAAACTAAATCTCTACCTTCATTACAGGGCAGGAAAGGTAAAAGGGAAACGAAATATATTATGTATCAAATTAATCATGTTAATGAAAAAATAACAAATACTCCCATTCTCCTCAAAATATGATTATATTTTAAAAACCTGGTATGCATCTCTACATTTCTTGAACTCTTAACACTATACACACATTTTGAAGAGCATAAAGACTATTTTATTTTAATCCCACTATGTATTTAACAAATTCTTACAGTTTGTGCGGTTTTATGCAAGGGAACAGGCAGAACAAAAAGGAGAAAGCCTCAATCTTCCTCAGCCTGAACTACAGGTGATTCTGAAATAATCTAACTCAACTTTTGTTTTTAAAAGCAAATATCAACACACATTTGTAAAATAAACTTAAGAGAAGGTATCTACCTCTGGTTAGTAAACCCTTTTGATTATAAAGTTCCCAAGAGAAACAGTGTATTCATATTTTACAAAAGCACACATTTCCAAAATAAAAGAGCACATTAGAAATTGTTTTCAAGTTCTACTTGGGTTAAACCAAACAGTTATCTTTAATATTCCAATCACTAAAACTAACTGGAATGTTGTACTTCAAATGTTCAAAGTTGACGAATTACCCATTTCTTCGCTCTACCAGGAAAACTAAGAAAACTCTCAATAAATCTTAACATTTAACAACACGTTATAGTTCCAACATTTCACAGATCATTTTTAAAGCACGTCCCCTTTCCATTTCTCAACTATTCTTGAAAATTATGCTTTTTCAATGCTATATTAATCTTTACGAATAAAGATATAAGTTAAACATTTAAAATATGAAGAGACAAATTCATGCGATAGAATCTTCGCATTTCCCAAATGTTTTTCTTTTAAATATTTGCATAAAAATTAAGTAAATTTAGCATACATTTTAAATTTGATACTTTTTCATTTCACAGAACCCGACATTTTATGTACACAAAAGGTCCAAGCAGAACGGATTCAAGTGTCAAAACTCTCTTTCAGCTGACACTTAAAATGGTTTTACTAGTACTATACCCAATGGAATGAAACCAACTCTCCACACTCTGTGAACACTCCAATTTCCAAAACCGCAATTCGTAAACGTCAGTTGGGAGAGAGTAGAAGGGGTCTTGAAATAATCCCCAAATTCCCTTTCCCCTGTGACAGTTCACCAAAAGATGTCAACCAAATCCAGCCAAATCGAGCCTATCTGTAAAGCACTAGGACCTCCCTTCCAAGGACACGGGACACAAGCATACACACCGCTGCGAAAAGCTGTCTAAAGGCGCCTGGCCCACAAAAACGTTAAGGGCCCAGATCAGAACCAAGCAGAACTCTCAAGGGAGTCCCATAGAAACAACAGAAATGAAGAAAGATGGCATTTATTCAGGGGTCGACAGCTAGGAACCAAAGTTCCCAAGCTTCTACCAGAGTTCAGGCTTATGGTAGATGCATTTGTGGGGTCCCCTCCCCTACAAACACCACAGTCTGCCTCTGGGGCCCACTGTCGTTAAAAGCGAAGACCTTCACATCCTTCCCCTTTGCCCCTGACAAAGGCCGAGGAGGCTGTTGAGCTGTCCCAGCTCTGTGAGGCAGTAAAAATGCCTATTTCGGACCACCCATCCTTGGGCCTGGCTTCACTTGCAATGTCGGCACCAATGGTTTTTTGTTTTTCCTTTTTTTTTTTTTTTTTTTTAAACAACGCATCCTGGGCGGGTGTATTCAATGGCGCGGGGGTGATGAGCAGAGGCATGGAGGGTTTGGTAGTGGAGTCTAAATTATGGAACCAAGCTTCTCCCTTCTAGGTTTGCCGTGCACGGAGTGTTGGCCACGTCTAGCGCACTGTCCCAGGCCCTAGGGAAAAGGTAGCCTGGGGAAATGGGGCCCAGGGATTGCTAGGAAACCGGCATTACTGGTGGTCTCCAGTGCCTGAGGAGGTAGGGTTTTTTTTTTAAGGGAGGGTGTGTTATTTTGTTATTTTTCGAGGGTAGGAGTGGGTTCATTCGTTCGTCACTGCGAGGCGCGCGCGGGGGGGGGGGGCGAGTTGCTGCACTGCCTGGGTCCCCGTGAGGGAGGATGCAGGGTTGTTTGCAATGGTACAGTGATTATTCCCGGACTGAGACAGCAATTAAGGGGGACAAGGTGGGCGACACCTCGAGCTGTGGCAGCGGCAAGGAAGGTCGCGAGGGGCTTACCGGGGCGGGCGCTGTCCTGCCGCAGGTGAGGGAGGGCGCAGGCTGGAGGGAGGGAGGGAGGGCGCGCGCGGCGGGCACGAGGAAGGGGGGAGGGGAGGAGGGCGCGCGCGCGCGCACACCTGTCCTGGACAGCGGCGCGAGCCGAGCTGCGCCGCGCTCCGGCTCTGAGAGCTGAGAAGGGAGGAGGGCAAGCGGGCAGGCGGGGGCGGGACGCCGAGGGGAGGAGGAGGAGGCGGCGGCTCGGATGGCTGGCTCGGCTCTCGCTCGTTCTCCCTCCCGCGGGCTAGCCCGGTTCACACCCTGCTTTGCCCGCTCACTCACAGCCCCCTTGACTCTCCCTCCTCCTCCTCCTTCCCCTGCGGGATCCGCTCGCCGCCGCCGCCGCCGCCGCCGCTGCCGCAGACGGCAAGTCGTGGCAGCCAGACGTCGGCGCGTAACCCGGCGCTCCGTGCGTGACTCCGGGCGACGTCAGCGCGCGCTCAGCACTCCCGCCCCCCCCTCCGGCTCGCGCCCTCCGCTCTCGAGCCTCTCCGTTTCAGTTGCCGCCGCCGCGGCCGGCGCGGAGCGCGCTCCCTCCGCCCCCCTCGCGCGTGAGCGCGCCCTCTCTGTCGTTGGCGCGTCAACATCCCGCGGCCCAGGCCTTGTGGCGCGTCTGAGGAAGGGGCTGTCTGGAGCCGTTCGGCCCGCACCTCCTCCACCTACCGCCCAGAAAGTCCCGAATCCCCTGCTGGGCCTCAGAAGGCCGAGGCCAGGGCTGATAGGGGTAGAACCCTTAAGGGCCTGCGCCACCTACAACTTAGGGCCCTCGGCGTCGTTGCGGCTGCCGCCGCCACCTCGTCACGCCCCCCCTTTTCTCTGGAGGCAATAGGGCCTTTCATCTCCGCGGAGGGGCTCACCTTGGCCTTCAGAAGCCCGCCGAGAGGGACTGGAAGGGCAGAATTAGCATAAAGAGAGAGGCTAGACCGAGTCCAGCGCCGGCCCCAGGAATCCTCGACAGGAAGTGCGGGGTTGCTGCCCAGCCTCCCACGCACTGTAGGTGAAGCCGGGCCCCTTTGAGGGACTGTGACTAAGGACAAAATCCTGACAAATATTATTTATGCGTCCTTGGGCTCACAGGGAGAGAGTAAAAGGTACGAGTGAATTTTCATAAGTTGTTAGACAAGAGTGAAATGTAGAACTATAAAATATCCTTTAAGACCGTTTACTTGAAATCTTAACCAAATTTAAGATTTTTGGTGCACCCTAACGCCTTGTGTGCTGTCACATCTCAGTCCTTTCACTCTACTGTGCATAGAAATGACGTGAATCAGCTAGAAGCTGTCTCCTACAAAATAGAGAACTACCTTCGCCTTTGTCATTAAATAGATCCCCCAAACGCAATGTTATTTATGGAAACGCAGGCACCGCCCCAGCTTAAATAACTGACTATATGTGAGGTTACTTTGCAAAACACCACAAGTACTCCTTTGCTAAGCAGTAGTAGACTTCTAAACTCACTAAATTTGGAAGAAGTTTAGTGAAACCTGGGAGGCAATTAGGAGTGAGATGGGATTAATCTCATTTTGTGGAGTTACCTAAAGGTAAGTCACTTGTCCAGACATCTGTCACCGAAGAAGGGGAGAACCTAGGTCTGTTTATCACTTTAATCACTAAAGCAGAAATCCTTCAACTGTTTTCTTTGAGGTGTTTTTTGATGCCCCCGTTTTAGCTATAGAGCAGTGACTCTTAGCCTGACTCAGAAAAATCAGAGAGAAGTCGAAAAGGTTTGAGTTTGAAATATTGTGCCATAGAAAATGATAGCTCAGCGATAAGTTACTGTAAAACAATTCAGCTTCCATACTTAACAACAAAATGTTCGTTAATCCCTAGCTAGAGATGAGGGCTTATTTGAGATATTTTTAAATGATGGGTCATTTCCTTTGAATTGCTTTATTCACCTCATCTTTAGGTGGCAGCACTGCTATATGAATACTACCTTTAAAACTCCAGTATAGTCTTCTGCAACTTGATATCCTAAAGAATATTTTGTCCTCAATGCTTCCAAATGTATAGTGGAGATTAGAATCTGGTGAAAATATGAAATCAGAGCTGAGAATTGGAGCACTTAGGAGGATTTTGGAAGAGAAAATCAGAAAGGCTGTCAGGGACACTAAATACAGGGATCTACTGAGGGAAAAAATACTAGAGATTTGAAAATTAGCTATGTAAGGGGCAAGTAACATCTTTAAATCTGGTTTGAAACATAACACAATATAACCTTCCAAAAGAAAAACAGTTTCTAAATACTTCATATTTATCAATGCGTTTATAAGTTTAAAGTTGCTAGTTGAATAGTTGCCAATTCACTAACTACAATTTTAAAATTCAGGTGCAGTTTTAAAATTCAACAGCTTTGAGTTTATGATAATCCCAAATAGGACTTTATTGTTGATCCTGTTGAAGAGAACTCTTCTGCCCTTCTTTCCTGCCTTTCCTATATTGTTCATATACAAAGCAAACTGCGATCACTTAAACTGAGACAAATGAGAAGACAAGCTGAACCAGATATAAAATGATAGTATTTTAAAGACAATTCTGTATCTTAATCTCTCTCTCATTTTTTGAGCATAGTAAGTTGTAACGGGGTTATTTGAATCAGTTATTTTCTAAGTACAACTTTGTCGTAATTTTATGTATTTGTAGTAGTCTTCCCTGTACCCCTTATACAAGTAACTCCAAAAAACCGAGTTTACATTTATTTCAAAATAGAGTGCTTTAGGTTTACTATGGAAACACAACCCCCAAAGAATACAGAGGTATGACAGAAGTGTGAAATCAAATTATTTTGGGGTACAAAATAATTGTTAATAAAGTCTTTCTTGATGACAGCTCCCATCTTTTTCAAGTCAAACTAGGAGGAGGAGTCTCAAGCAAATCAGTAGTTCTCAAACTCAGCAGTGTTATGTTAAGATTTTTAAGCTTTCTGGTGCCAGCAAATCATGCAGCCTGGGGGCCTTTGCTCCAAACTTCTGCCAACACCATTTTGGCAGCAAAATGTTCTGTTGAACAAAGTTTGCACGTGTTTAGGGTGCGAAGTGGTTTCTCGGGCACTTATCTGATTTTATTCCAGTTTGAGGACTGGAAGACAAAGGTCAGAAGTATGAGGCTTACCAAGCTCATATGTGTCCTATTCTTATTTGCACCTTTTTTCCCCTTCCCCTTAAAAGTGATTAAAAACCACTGGGCATGGTGGCACATGCCTCTAATCCCAGCTACTCAGGAGGCTGAGGCAGGAGGATCATAAGTTTAAGGCCAACCTAGGCATTTTAGTGACTTAGCAAGGCACTGCCTCAAAATTTAAAAAAAAAAAAAAAAAAAAAAAAAGCCTGGGAATGTAGCTCAGTGATAGAGCATTTGCTTAGCATGTATGAGGTTCTGGATTCAATCGCTACTACTGCAAGGGGGAAAAAAAAGCAAATCACATATCAGAACATGTGGATGAGGTCAGAGATGGAGAGGAAAGCTTGACCTATCCAAACAGTAAATTTATGTGACTGTAAAACACTATTGAATTTTATTGCATATTTTGTGGTGACCCCAAAACTCTTTGCTTCCTTCCTTTAGATTATCAGTGTTGTGTCATTTTACTACCTGGGTCAAACTAAATACATATATGCGTATAGACAGATTCCACTGAGTCTAATACAGGCTACATTTGCAACCTGATGCAGTAGCATGTTGAAGATCAGTAGAATTTCTTTCTTTAGTGAATAAAATGTGTCAGGGGGAAAACCAAGATAATATTCCAAGTGAAAAATACTAAATAAGTTCTTTAAAAATATCTTATATGTTTTTAAAAAATCCTATGTGTTATAATAATTATTTTATCTTTTGAGTATACTTACTCTTGTTTGCTTAAATACTCAAAGTTAATTATGAAATATAAATTAATGATTTTTACTTTCAAGATAGTATATCAATATTAAGTGTACAGAGAATGAAGAAATTTTTAAAATTACTATATCAGAATCTCATTAATAGACATATTACATGAACATAGTACAGCTAATTTAGATGATATATGCTTTTTTTCTCTTGAACTTCCTTCTGGAAAGTAGGTAATGACCTGCTATGTTAGGATTAGTTCTTAGAACCCTTTGTTGTTTGTCAGCTTTATTTTCTTGAATCATTTGTTGAACAATATTTATCAAACGCCTGTTTACCAGCCATTGTTCTAGAGATGCTCAAACACAATGAAGTTTCTGCTGTCCTATTCAAGTCTTTGTAAGACAGATGATGAACAAATATATAATGCTAGATAGCGATGAATACTAAGGGGAAAAAAGGAAAATAGAGTTTCCATATAACTGTGTATGAATGTATGTGCGCATACATTCACTGATCTTTTAAATACAATGATCAAGGAAGACTTTTTTTTTGAGACAAAATCTCACTATGTAGTTCAGGCTGCCTCAAATTCACACTGATCCTCTTGCCTCAGCTTTCCAACTGCTGAGATTACAGGCATGTGCCACTATGCCCAACAAGGAAAACTCTCTTGAAGAGGTTCTCTCTGGAATAGTCATGGGACTGTTTGGGGAGATGTCCCAGGTATTATGAATAATTTATGCCATATAAAGTCACCCCAGTGTAAGTCATCGTGTGATAATCATACACTTTTTTCTTAAGAGATGAAGAAGGTCATTAGGTTTTCAGAAAAGTTTTTCATTTAATTACCACCATTGCTGTGCCCCTTAATGATCATTTTATTGCTTAGTACAATAAGATTATGACACTCTGCAGACACAGCTTCACAATCCCTTATCTGTAATTCCTAAATCCAAAATTTTTTCTTAACTCATTTGGTGGTGAAGATTGATTGGAACTGACATACTGTATTTTAAATCTTCATTTATTCTATTTGGTGGAGCTATTGATACATTTCACTGTAGAAATATTAATGTGAAAAGATATTAATGTGTTTTGATTAAGGGCTGCTGCTTGGGATACTATATGGTAGTTAAAATATAGGTAATATATCGCATTTCTAAAATATGAAAAAATATTTTAAATTTCGAAGGGCATCCAAGCTCCAGGATTTTGGCTAGGGGATTGTAGTCCTGTACAAGATTTTTCTTGATTTCTGATTAAAGGTTGATGTGAGTCTTTAGATAACTTTTTCAAAAATGTAATAATGTTTATATAGTGCTCTTGTGATGTACCTGGCACCAGATAATCACTGTCTGTATATTAGCTCATAAAATTCTTGCAACAAACTCTGACCATGTGGTGTGTGCCTATAGTCCAAGCATGCAAGAGTCTGAGGCAGGAGGAATGCTTGAGCCCAGGAGCTGAACACCAGCCTGGGCAACATTTAGTAAGACCCCACCTCAAAAAAAATTGCAGCAACTCTATGTGTAAATTATCCTCATTTTACCAATGAAAAAGTTGTGGTACAGATAATGAAATTTGAGGGCCTGCCATGGTGGTACACACTTGCAATCCCAACACTCAGGAGGCTGAGGGAATAGGATGGTAATTTGGAGGCCAGCATGAGCTGCATAGTGACTATATAATGACACCCTATCTCAAGAAACCAAAACCAAACCAAACAAAAACAAACAGAACAAAATTCACACAACTAATGCATGGCAGAGCTAGAAACTGAACTAGACATTCTTCCTTTATAACTTATACACTGCCACCAAGCTAGCTCTCCCTCTTCCTCCCTCTCCTCTCCCTGCCTTCCCTATTTCTGTACCGTTTGTATTTATTTAAACCTATTTTGGAGAAATTTTAAATATTAGCCTTTTTCAAGAGCATGATTTTTTCTTCTATTCTTAAATACCAGATATCAAAACTGGTGTTTTGTTTTGTTTTTTGTTTTTCTTCCAGTACC